TCCCTTCCCCTTTCATCTGGACTGGCCTTGTGACTAACTTTGACAACAGAATGTGGCGAAAATGAGCCTAAGCCTTACAAGGACTTGCCGTTTCCATTTTCATTCTCTTGGAAGCCAGCCTTCATGTAAAGAAGCTTGAGCTACTCTGTAGGTACTGAGAGATCACATGGAGAGATTATCCTTGTGAAGGAGACACAAGATGTCCCAGACAACAGTCAGTATCATGGTCTCAGTGGGTCCATATTGAATGCTCATTAAACACCATATGGAGCCCAGACAGCCATTCCTACCAAGCCTTGCCTGAATTCCTAGCCCACAGAAATCAACATCAGTTGTTTAAAATGATTGAATTTTGGGGTAATTGTTAGACAGCAATGGAAAACTACACTATCTATTATAGAACTTGTCATTAAATACCATAATTACTTATTTACTTGTCTGTCACATTTGTGAGCTACTATAAATGGAGACAATTTTCATCTTAATAGCTGTGACACCTGACCTATGGGAATGCTTTACAATGGCGAGCCTAGGAAAAAAATGAGGCTTCTTAAGGAGATCACAGAGAAACCTTGTCACACTGGAGATTTTTTAAAGGAAATGAGTACCAAAAAACAAAAGGTTCTAGAGAATGATTGTGGAAGACAAGAGTGGATGAAAATTCAGAGCAATTGCAAGGGACCTCCAAAATGTGTATTAGAATTCTTCTAATAATTGGTGAGATTATTGACCTCTGTTTCAATCCATATGCAGCCTAGATGGGCCCACAGTCACAAGTATTTACAAGGGCCTGTCAGGCAGTTATCACTCTGTGCAATTAAACTGTACATCATGGTTCTCACTCTCCGGAAGAAGTTTACTGTAACAGAAAAGCAGATGTACCAACACATTGTGGGCTGCAGGAGGATATGAAAAGGTGGGGAGGACAGAAGGCTCAGATTCAATGGTTTTAGACCTAGGCAGGATTTCCACGAATCCACTTCATCTTTTCCCTTCACATAGTGTTTACCGAGTACCGCCTGGGCATGGCACTCCCTCTCCCTCTTATGCTGAAGCCTCGCCAAGTTGAGAGGAGTTTCTCACATGTTCCACACTCTGTCATGCTTCATAGCCTTTGTTCTTTCCCCCTTCCTTCCTGGAATGATTTATGACCCCTGCTTCCATGCCCTTCACCTAGCAATACTTGTATTCGTCTCTGGAGCTCCTCCCCCTTCTTTTCCTCATCCCGTCCCCAGGAAGAAACCCCCCATTTGCTCTGCCATTTCAAATGTCTCCAGATTCATTGTGAGTCCTCCCTGCTCTGCAAAGCCATCACTGACCATCCCAACCTGGGGTTTCCTAGAATGTGGTGGAAAGGGAACTGGCTTTGGAGCAACATGAATTTGGGTTCAAATCCTGGCTGTGCCGCTTGTGATTCTGCACAAGCTCTTTAATCTCTCACGTTTCCTCATCTGTAAACTGGGCATGATGCTCCCACTTCATAAGGCTGTAATGAGGGTATGGGAGATCGCTACATACAGTGTTTAGCTGAGTCCTGGTATGTAACACACCAGTGATACATGTTATTTTCTTCCTCCTCTCTGAACTTCTGGCATTTAATATCTGTACCACTCATTTGTCCTCAAATCATAGTTATTTTGTGACAGCTCCTGTCCTGTACCATCATTTAACTTAATGTTATTCCTTGCTCATTTTTAATATACGCTTCCTCCTAATATCTAAAATATAACTTTTTATATCTTTATATGTCCCAAGAACAAGAACAACAGATTCTTAATAAATATCAGTGCATGAATGAATAGACAGTGGAGTGGGTGGCTGCCTCTTAGGGCTTTCTTTTTTTTTTTTTTTTTTAATTTTTTTTTTTTTCAACGTTTATTTATTTTTGGGACAGAGAGAGACAGAGCATGAAGGGGGGAGGGGCAGAGAGAGAGGGAGTCACAGAATCGGAAGCAGGCTCCAGGCTCTGAGCCATCAGCCCAGAGCCTGACGCGGGGCTCGAACTCACGGACTGCGAGATCGTGACCTGGCTGAAGTCGGACGCTTAACCGACCGCGCCACCCAGGCGCCCCTCTTAGGGCTTTCTATAGTACACTTTGTAAAGTACAGCATTCCAGGTTAAGAACTCACTCAATTAGAATAACTAATTTCAGGGTTTTTTTTTTTTTTTTTTCCAGGAAAGGAATGATTAGGGAAAAGTTCAACACTTTTCCTTATCCTACTGGATCAGTGTAACAGAGGAAAATGAAGACCCATCCCATGAAAAGATAACTCGGAGGCAATGCAGTATTGAGAACAATGAAGACACAAAGACTACCCCTCCAGCTCCAGGCTTTTTTTTTTTTTTTTTTTTTTTTAAAATGATTGTTTAACAAAACAAAGAAAAATGACTGAGAATGAAAGAGCAATTATGTGAAGAGTAATCCCCAATTGATTACATGGGAATTAAGTAAGCTGATAGGAAATAATCAAGTTTGGATTAAGATATTAAGGGCCCTCCTGTCATTTAGATGGAAACAGTCGTGAGGAGGGAGAACAAATCCTCTGTGACTGACTGAGGATCCATCTGTCAGAAGTAAGGGGTAGGATGACATATTATAAGTGAACAAATAAATGGACTTAATCAGGGATGAAAACCAAGGATCAGTGCACCCTCAGGACATACAAGACTTAAAGAGAAGACAACACAAAATAGGGCCAAGCTCCAAAAAACCTCCAGAAAGGAACTCCAGAAGTTTTCTAGACAGGTGTCTGCTCCCTTGCTAGTCTTGAGGTTGCGGTAGTGAGCTGCACTCCGTTGTGAGCCTGGCAAAGCCATGCTACACTGGAGCAAAGAGCAGGAGGGTTCTTGAGAGAGTGCCTCACAGTGATTTCAATATGCTTTTTTATGCCAAAGGACCCTTTGTTCAGTCTTATAGAGTCCCACGATACATAAAAGAAACAGAGGTATTGCTGTATGATTGCAAAGAAGCAAGAAGAGAAGGGGTGAGGGGATCTTGGAAGATGATAATATCTTGGATCCCGCTTCCTAGGACCTTATGCTTGGCAGAACATGTTGGGAAAACCACTGGCCCAGGATATCTATAAGCCTTTATGAATTGCTCTTGTCAACTGGCAAGGTTTTTGGCTAAGATCCAGTTGGTTAAAGCCTTCCAAAGCAAAATGTACTAAAACTAGAGACTAAAGATCATGTAGTAAAGATGACTTCATCCCCCTCGAGGGGAAAACAGGCCTTTGTCTGCTTTACTACACCAAAATCTCAGCAGGGTTTATTCTTTCTGGAAAATATTCTTCAAGTCATAACTGAGACTCTCAGTGGAAGCCAATTTCAATTTAGTAACACCTAAATATATCTGAACCAACAGGTTCTGGATGGCTCTTCAGAATGAGCTGTTAGCAGAGACAAGAGCAGCCTTCATATTTCCTAAGAGAGGCCTTGATGTCCGAGGATATTTTCAGTCTTACAGGACGGCTTAATAATGAATCCTTGGGATCTTGAGTTTCCTCCTAACTTAAGAGTGAATGTAACCATTGAGTTAAGTTTCTAACCTCAGACACTAGAAGGGTAGTTACAAAACCAAGAGAAAGTAAAGAGAAGAATGGCTTTGAAGGCCTTTCTGCCAAATGAGAGCCCTCAGGGTCATACTGGCTGAGAGTGTAAGTAGGTTTGTGGCCAGTGTTCCCGGCATGTCAGGAGTGTAGAGCGTCTTGGGTGGTTAGTAGTCTGAATCAACACTTACTGACAAATAGATGGTGGATACTATCATGACTGTCCTCATGGGAAAGATAGGAGTTGAATGTTTTCTCTTCACATTGCAGTAGGTTTCAGATACTCAGCTGAGAGAGACCAGACCTGAGGTTTTTGGTGGACACTTCAAAGCCGAGGGTAATGCCTATTGTTAAGAGGGGGACACATTTTGGGACCACTGCCTTTTCACACATGCTCCAGGCTCCAGAGTGCCCCTCCCCATCCATGTCTTTCAACTGGAAGCATGAATTTAATTCACTGAGAGGTGGACTGGCCCCCAGCCTGCCTTTCCTGTCCTGTGATCTTAGAACAATCTGACCTTTTCCCTGGGTGGATGCTGGTTCCTAGGGGATGGATGTGTAATGCAGGACAGCAGGGGTTCCCCGCCCAGCTCCACATTCCTAAGAGTGAAGGCACCTGTTTGGCTATGCTAATTTGCTCCCGATGCAGGTGAGCTCACCCCTAGCTGCTTTAGCACAGAAGGGAGGAAAGATGCCTTTTCACAGGTACCTTATATACCTAGGCTCCCTCTTTGAATGTGCTGACAACATTTTCTTAAGTTCCTCTTCCTCCTCAGTAACATCCCCATCAAACATTCTGTCAGAGCAAGAGCCAAAAACAGAAAAAAAAAAAAAAAGTATCAAATGGGAAAACAATGAAATGCCTGTTTGGTTCCTGTGTGCAGTGAGCAACAATAAGCCACACTTTCTGAAGTGTCTCAGAAAGGAATGCCTGTGATGTTCTTTCAAAGAAGGACTCTGGCCCCAAACCAAGCTGTAAGCCATGACAATGCTCCACTAAACACCAAAAAGAATTCGCCTTTCAGCCAGAGAGGCATTTCTCATGTACTGGGGGAAAATGCCACCCACACCACGTCACCTCAGCACATTTACTGTCACTCCTCTCTTCCTGCTGAAGCCAGAGGAACGTAGCACACTGTGACTGTTGGGTGGACTGAAACTCAGCTGAGGAGTCTGAGCCCTGGGAACTTTGCCCCCTAAGATGTGCTCCCGGGAAAGCAGGAGTCTAGGAGGTGTGTTTGTATTTTAGGGAGTTTACGGCTCTTGGGTCCTCCCTCCTACAGAAAGACCTTCTCCCCTTCGTCCCCACCTAAACTTTCCCCGTAGCCAGGCATTTGAAGTTAGCTGAAGTGTCAAAACACTTTGTAAAAAGGCCATTGAGTCAGGAGGGCTTCACCCCGCCTGGGCAAGTTCAAGTCCTTCAGAGGAAAAGGGGAGGGATCGCCTCTTACCTGGGCTTCTTTCACTATTCCATTTTTCGTGTGGTTTCCACTTTGCAGGCTGTCGCTCTGTTTCCTGTGATTGTGCAGATTCCCATTGCAGACAGCACCACCTCCAGGATTAGCCATTTGTGTGAAATGATGGAATCCAGCCGGTTTTCGTCCAGAGGTTCTAGGCAAGCTTTAGTTTTGAAGTTGGTGAGGGAATGAGAGAGGAAGCACTTTGGGCTGAGTCCCTGAAGGAATCCTACCGATCAGGCTTTCCAGAAGAAGAGCAACAGCCTATCTTTGGGGCAGATCTTTGAAACAAAAAACAAGTGGTTACCTTTACACTCCTCAGCTCAGAATGTGACCTTCAGGACAACAAACCTGCTTTTGAAACTAGAAAGGAGATTGTCCATGCTGGCTCCTTGGGGGGGCTGAGGAAATCTGGAAACTGCAAAACCCAGAGGCAACTGCGAGGAGGCCGGCTGAGGGGGTGGAGCATCTTTTAAAGATACACACACACAGAGCACAGTCAAGGTCTCCTATGTGCAGTCAGTTTCGAATTTATGTCTACCCCCACCCCTCCCTCCTGAATCTAATTACAACTTTTGGTTGTAGACTAAGCTCAAGGTCAACACCCCCCCCCCCCCCCAAACAACACTCAGCAGTGGTTGCCTGGGCTAGCAAGAACGAGAGGAGAATGGGAAGTTACTGTTTCACTAGCACTGAGGTTTTTAGCCGGTTCCATGGATGGTGGTGATGGTTGCACAACAGTGTGAATGTACTTAATGCCACTGAACTTTACACTCCAAAACGGTTAAGATGGTAAGTTTTGTGTGATGTGGCACACAATAATACATAATACAAAATGGCAAAAATAATAACAATGTTCAGAACCCGTCTGATGTTAAAGCCAGTGATAACACAAGGGGTATTGGCTCATCCAGAATTCCAGTAACACGAATCTGGGAGACAGAATATTTGGTTTCTGGGTAAGGCTGTGTTACTTTACCATGTGACTTCAGGAGAGCCATTTGCCTTCTTTTTTGCCTCATTTCTTCACGTGTACAAAGAGACAAAACATTTTCAGTGGGCCAGTGGCTGAGGGGGCAGCAGGAAAATAAAAGTGTGGCCTGGGTTTGTTATTGACACAGGTGTTGTGGGGCAGGTGGTGAATGCAGTGCCACAGTCCTGCTACACCTCTGGTTTACTCATTAACTCTTACTGTCTCGATACTTTAGTTACTAGAGGGCTGTTTTCTCCTACCATCAAATGGCATTGTAGTTTGTTGGACAGTGTCAATCATTTACAGCTTGTTCAGTCCTCAAGCCCACTGTCATGGTTGCCCTGAATGGAGCCTTCTTTAACATCAGGCACTTAGGGAAAAACAAAAAAACAAAAATGAGCCATTTATTGGATCAATGGACAAAAACAAAGACACACACAAGCAAAAAACAAAAAACAGAAATGGTCCCTGTTGTTAGAGCCTCATTTCTTGGTTCTCAGCTCTCTAGGACTGGGTTCATTTCCCAGTCCATTGGCTTATGGAGGAGGTGATGATAATGCTTCTTCTAACCATGGTTTGCATGTGAGGGTTGCCAATTTTCCACCTCAGGGAGAGCTAAAGGAATAAGGTGAGGTCTTAGGCCAAATAATGAGATGGGGCTAATGCCAAGTGTGGCCACCCCTTTGTTTCTCAAGCTCAGACTTTCTATTGCATCTCTCCCAACCTTTGTTATCAGAGCAGAGCTAGCTTTTCCCTGGCTAACTGTAACTCCCTGTTACACTAGGAGTTGGGAGTTATTTGTATTGGCTTAATTTCCTTCTAGACTTATGCAAAAAGGAGATGAAAAGGTAGGATGGGACACTGATAACTGCTGGCCTGACTGCCCCAGCTTACTTAGGGAGACAGGTTGAAGGGGTGCCTGGATGGCTTAGTTGGTTGGGCATCTGACTCTTGATTTTGGCTCAGGTTCACGGGATCCAGCCCAACATTGGGCTCTGGGTTGACAGCGTGGAGACTGCTTGGGATACTCTCTCTCTCCCTCTCTCTGCCCCTCCCCTGATCTCATGCATGCTCGCTCTCTCTCTCAAACTAAATAAACATTTTTTTTTTTTTTAAAGGAAGACAGGTTGAAGACATGGTGTTATTTTGACTCAGCTCTAATTATCCATACAAAGTTTTTTTGTTTTTTTTTAATAAAGATTTTGAGATAAAACTAACTAAATTCTGTACATTAGATATTTCTATCCCTCTTCCTTTTCTTTTCTTCTTCCTTCTCCTTCCCTTTCATCTTTTGAATTTCCTTTTCCTTTCTTCCTACTCTTCCTCCTCTTCCTCTTTTATTTTTTGTTTTTATTTTCTTTTTACAAGGGGACAAAAACCATATATAAAGAATACATCTCAAAACAGAACTGAAATCTGCATCACTTTGCTTTCCCCCTATTGTCAATTGCCAACTTTAGATAATCACACGTCAACCTTCTAGAAGTATCTATTACATGTCCTCATTCTTGAAACTTTTCCACTTTGCTTACCATGTTGGAATATGTGAGTTGCAATGTGCACAAAATCATATAAAGACAGCAACCATTTGTCATCAGGCACCATGGACATGCATAATCATGATGGCTCATTAGGTCTCCAGGAAAAATAAGTGGGGAGGTTTATTTGCATTGTGTTGTAGCTTTGAGTTTAAACACATTTATTGCTATGGTCTGAATCTTTGTGTTCTCCTAAGCTCATATGTTGAAATCATGACCCAAGGTTATGTGGTATTAGGGAGTGGGGCAGTTGGGAGGTGATTAGATCATGTTGGGAGAGTCTCCATAAATGAGATTTGTGTCCATACAAAAGAGGTCCCAGAGAGCTCCCTTCCCTCTTTAGCCATGTGAGGTTACAGTGAAAAGACAGCCATTTAAGAAGCAGATTCTCACCCGACACCACATTTTCCGGTGCCTTGATTTTGGACTTCTAGCCTCCAGAACTGTGAGAAATAAGCTTGTGTTGTTTCTAAGCTACTCAGTTTAGGGTATCTTGGTATAGCAGCCGAAACATACTAAGACCTCAATCAACACTAAATGCCACCTGAATGTTGGGTATGATTTGCTGTCTCTGAATAACTAAGTGAACTTCAGATCAACCAGGAAACTTAGTAAGTATTTCAATAACTGTCAAGTATCGGTTTTCTATGCCTCTCCATACAATAACGAACAAGACAAACACAGTCTCCACCTTCACAGAACCAAGAGTTAGCAGCACTTACATATCCTTTCAAGAAATCTCATTAGTGAAAGTAAAAAGAAACCTGTCCATTAGTGTATTAAAGGCAAAGATGAAATCAGTTTACTGTGGCCTTGTGGTGTTTCCTGAAAGGGATTCTTGGCCTAGATGCCCACTTCTAGAAGTAGGGAAGAAAGAGATGTTCAGAGGCCTGATGATATGTTCTGAAAATGTTGGCAGAAAATGGAATGAATGACAAAAGTAAATGGTCAGAATTTCACGGTGTCTAGAGATCTATTCTTTCTCTGTGACTCGGTCTTTGCTTCTGTAGTGGAGGGTGACGCTAATGCCAAAACTAAAGTCCCACACACCATGATATCTCTCCTTCAACTGCTGTCTGGAGAACCATCAACTACAACGAAGAGAAGTAACAAAAATTGTTATGGGTTGAGACATTTTATTGCATTAGCCAAATAATAAATACATTTTTTATTTTGCCTTCCTGATCCATGAAAATCCTATTAAATAGATGCCAAGATCAAATGGTATCTCTGTACCTCCTGGGATTTGATAGTCTGGGATTCCTCCTCAGAGAAATATTTAAACGTCCTTAAAGTATTCAGACTAGAAAAATTTTAGTGCAAGGATAATTCAGATCCAAAGCTTTTCTTACCAATAAGTTGTAAACACCATGACACCAGAAGGCCAGATATCAGTGTTACAGATGTCAGGTGTCTGTTTGGTTTTTATTTCTTTCGAAACATTGACTAACAGAATGGCAAAGGTATATTAAGTTAGAAAAAAAAAATCTTTTTATTGATGACTACTACCCCATGGTCAGCAACAGTGGAGTAATTCTGCTTTTCTCCTTGACATAATCCTCTGGGAGTAGTGTCTACTTGCGTTCTTGTGGTGGCAGTTACCTTCAGAATGCCTGTAGCAAATAACAGGCAGTGTCTCCCCTCCCTATGGATGCCCCTATGGATGTCTGGACTCTTTGGCTATGAAACAACATCTGTTAAAGAAAACCCTGAGAAAGAGGAACATAAATGCCATTTAATTTCACTTGTATGAGGAACCTAAAAAATAAAACAAATGAATAAACAAATAAAAAGCAGAAATAGACCCATAAATACAGAGAACAAACTCTTGGTTGCCAGAGGGGATGGGGAGGTGGATTGGGTGAAGGGCAACATGTGTGAAGGGGAGTGCGAGGTATAGCCTTCCAGTTATGGAATGAATAAGTCATGGGTATGAAATGTACAGCATAGGGAATATAGTCAATGATATTAGAACAGCATTGTATGGTGACAGGTGGTAGCTATGCTTGTGGTGAGCAGAGCGTAACTTATAAAGTTATTGAATCACTATTTTGTACATCTGAAACTAATGTAGCATTGTGTATCAACTATACTTCAATAACCCTCCCCCCAAAAAAACTTTCAGAATTGAAATTTTCAAAACAAAACTAGGTACTTCTCAGAAGTACTCCAGAGCCTCTGCTATAACCCAGCTATTCCAGATGTTTGGAAATGAGCTTCTCACAGGCACTGAATTTGGGTGAAATTTACCTAATTTTATTAATCAAAATTTTTTTTTTATTTCTGTCACTAAAGAATTCTTAGTTCCTTTAGAGAATTCTTTGCACAAAGCAACGATGATTTACTTAAGTGGGTTTTAAATTAATACTTGGCATATTAAATTAGAAATTGAAAACCTAGTAAAGTTCAATCTTTGTATCCTATTAGGACTTTTGTATAAAATAAGAAAATACTTTTGTGATTCTTAATTCATTAATATTTGACTGATATATGTTGAGTAGGCTGAATTCTCCTGAAGCAAAAAGTGCCATTTATAAACTTAGTCAATGCACTGCCTTAAAATATTTAAAACTTAGTTAATTAAATGCCTTTAAAATTTA